AAAACAGCAAAGCAATAATGTCTACTATACATCTATACATGTTGTACATGTACATGTAGCTAGATATGTGGTGAAAAACTTTTTTATGTAATAGAATTTATGCTTTGCTTGCTTAGGCTCACCCCTTAATGTTTTACATCTGTCTAGTAACAATGTACATGTACTTCAGTGGTTGCTATGGTGATGCCAGGATTCATTATAACTTCCTTTAGTGACAAGATCTTTGAATACATTTAAGGTATCGCCCACTTTTTGTGTCTACCTGACCTTCTTTAGTCTTCCTCTCCTCCTTCCAACTTCTTTCATTTTGTTTTGTTGTTGTTTCTGGTCGTCAAGAAGTCGTTACGGCTATCTTTCCCCAGGCTACTCTCATTCTTGTTCATTCTGACTTCATTTTCTTATCATTCATTCTTGCTCTATCTTCATTTACTATCTTCTATCTTTATCTCTCTTCATTTTTTGTTCTTGCTTTCCGTACACAATTTTATTCTTTTCTTGAAATGGCAACCAAACCATCTTCATCTTCTCCTGGTCTCAGACTCAAACTGGAGAAAGAGCTCACCTGTCCTGTGTGTCTTGACCACTATACCAACCCTAAGACTTTACCTTGTCTACATTCATTCTGTCAGCACTGTCTAGAGGGATTACCTTTGGATAAGAAGAGTGAGACCTATTACCTCTCTTGTCCCACTTGTCGTCATCGTACAGAGTTTCCAGAAGAAGGAGTAGGAGCCTTTCCTGTAGCATTCACTCTCAACAACCTCCACAGTCTATTGGAAAGGACTTCAAATCCTCAAGAGGCCACATCATGTAGTGATCATGGAAAGGCTTTAGAGCTATTCTGTGAAACATGTGATAGAGTAATCTGTGTTACCTGTCAAGTTCGAAATCACAAACATCATGAATATGACTTAATCACTGACAGTTATACTAAAGACTGTTTGAAGTTAAGAGAATGTATGTCACCAGTTGAGGGAAAGAAGGAAGCACTCAAGAAGGTCTTGTCTGCTCTAGCAGAGAGAGAGGGTGAGATCAGAGAGAGAGGAGAAGGAGTCTTAGAAGAAATACATGAAATGGTAGAGGAAATGATTGCTGTTCTTCATCAGTCAGAGAGGGAACTGACTGAGCAGGCAAGGAGGGTCACTGATGCTAAACTAAAGGTGCTGTCAAAGCAAATGACATCAGCAGAAATGAGTTTAAGTCTTCTGGAGGATGTCGAGGATTATGTGAAAAAGAGTCTGAAGACAGTCAGTCGTCAAGAAGTCCTGAGGTCTAAGAAACAGATGATGGAGCGTATGAGTGAAGTTACTGGAAAGATCAATGTGGAAGAGTTACATCTAAAGGAAAAATGTGACTTTGTATTGAGTAAAGATATCAAATCGCTACATCACATTGGGGATATTTTGACTTACTCATCTACTGCGCTACAGCAGTGTAGAGTGAAGAAGATTGGTCGTATTACACCTGCTGGCAAAGCAGTTTCATTTTCACTATCAATGGAGGCACCAGATTCATGTCTTTTGTGTGTTTCCCTCTCTTCTCTGAGGTGTAGTCTAGTACCAGTTGGTAAAGGTGACCAACCCATTCATACTACAGTCACTACCACCAGCACTGATCCTGGAGTGTATAGAATACAGTGTAACCCTTCAACATGTGGTACTCATACAGTAAAAGTACAAGTATATAATGTACACCTTGAGGATACCTCACTAGTCATCCCTTTCAATCCTTACCTTGATAACATCACTCCAGTATGTACTGTAACTGAACTTATGCGTCCCTGGGGAGTTGCTGTAAGTGACGATAATCATGTTATAATTGCTGAGAATAGTGGTCACTGTATAACAATACTGGATAGAGAAGGAAAGAAAGTGAAATCATTAGGAGGGGAAGGAGGAAGTGGTGATATCAAGTTTTCTTATCCTCGTGGTGTAGCCATTACTCCAGACAAATTCATTCTTGTGTCTGATGATCACAGGATCCAGAAGATAAGCATGGAT